TTTTTTTTTACATTTTATTTAAAATTTAAAAATAATTAATATTTTTAATAAAATGTAAAAAAATTAATTATTGAGATATAGCTATAGACCTAACGTATAACTATTATTTAAAAAAAAAATCAACTAAAAATATTAACTGGATCAAAAGTTATTTAAGTTGTCAGTGAGTGGTGGGCCACCCTGTATATTCTCTTAATCCAACATACTTTTTCTTTAAACCTCGCTCGCCAAATTGACATTTTTTCTTAATTCCTTTTAAATTTGAAAAAATTTCAAAATTCTTTTGGTTTTTATTTAATTTACACTGTAAACTTCTATGAATATCAAAGATTCCATCATTTTAGTTTCCCCTTGTGAGAGAATTTTTTATTCATATTAAAATTATTTTTATATCCTTTTTTATTATGTCTGTCATTCGTTTTTCTCAACATTATAAAATTTTCTATTTAATAATGTCAATTTCAAACTTTCAAATTGAGCTAAAAAAAATTCAACCTTTTTTAATATAAACTTTTATACAAATTATTAACTTTAAAAGACAAAAAAAAGGTTCAAAATAACATTTTGCACAGATTATGGTTAACATATAAATAATCAAAATCAATAATAATCTGAAAAATAATTTGTTTTTAATTATTTATTTATATGTAAACACTAGTATTTTACTAATTAGTGATATTATAATATATATTATACTATAAATAATTAATTATAAAAATTAAAATTGACACCCCTATAGTATAGAAGAGACGAACATAAAAAATATTTTATAACAGATAAATGGAGATATATATGTAAATAACAAAATAAAAAAAAAACTTTATCATTTTAAGAGAAATTGAGAGATAAAAGAATCATCTTGTAAACAAGAGTATGAATTTAAAAATAGTTTGTATGATATGTTATATTATTACACTTGAAATTATTTTTAAATAAATGATATATTTTCAAAATATAGCAGGCAAGGAAAAAAATATATTAAAATTATTTTAGAACATAAAAAACATCTGCGAAAATAAACCATTATATTAACTGTTAAAATTATTTTTTAAGTACACAAATCGTGTAGCTTTACAATAAAATTATATTTCAAAATAAGAAAATCATACAAAAAAGTTTTTATAGTATGCTTTATAATACATTATAGTTTTATTATATTAATAAACATATTTAAATTTGATTAAAAAAAAATTTAATTACATTTTTTTTAACTCTAAGTTTTATACTAGAAAAAGAAAGAAAATGCATTTAAATAAATTTTTCATTGTTATAATTACGTTATTTTTGTGTTTACAAATGAAATTTGTCACGACGATAGACTCGTCAGATATTAGAGAGCTCAAATATATTGTCAGTAAATTTGTAATTAATGATTTCGATTATATCGTGTATAATTCATTGAAGCTTAAAAATCTATTTGATAATAATGAGTACATACAAAATATTACCAAAATTACAAATGATACTTCTAAAAATAAGCCTGCAGAATATGTGTCAATTCAATATTTTGAAGTCGACGAAGAGAACTATTTCAATAAACAAGATCTGGTTAGTGGAATGCTTAGTTGTAAGTATATTGAGCAACTTAGGCTAATCAATCGTCTTTTGTTATATATATGTAAGGAATATATAGAATCTCAAAATTACATTGGATATGATAACGAAAGTAAACGTATTGAAACTAGAAATTATTTTTTGAAGATATTAAAAAAAAAACATGATTGTTATATGGAATTTATTAATCTACTGTATAACAATATTAATTTTCTTAGTAAATTGTTTGGGGAAAGTTTTGATAAACTGTTAAAATTATTAGAATACTTGAAAAAAGTTGTTATACATGAGGAAAATGTTAAGAATTACTGTTATTGTCTAGAAACTGCATTTCACAATTATCTCAATCCAGCTAAAACTTCATGTAAATTTACAAAAACGATGCCCAATGAAAAGAAATATATAGATGAATTTGAAAGCTATAACAATGAATTCAAATCTTATATTGATAAACGTATAAACTACATAGCCTTTTTAGATTACAGGATTGATAAAACGATTGAAGATTCCATGGAATATAATTTTTATTTTGAAAAACTACGTGAAGACAAAATCGAAAATCATTATGAATTATCAATATAAGTTATTTTGAAATAAATATTTTATATTATGAAATTTTAAACTAATTAAATGTTTGTACCTATTTATAAATAAGCCCTTATAATATGAAATATATATAATATTTTAAGCAAAAAATTAATACCGTTTTTTTATTAAAAATTAATTTCATAGCTATTATTTATTATGTTATAATTAGATGTAAGTTTTTTTGACCTATTGTTTGATAATTTTAATTCAGTAAACAGTGATTAATATAATAATTAAATAACAATAATGTTGACCTCCGCATCAAAGATTAAATATTAAATTTTTCCTTTACAGTTGTGAAATTTCCAAAAATAATAACACCAAGATAGATGTTTAATAATCACGGCTAATAGTTTGTTTAGTATTGTACTAAAATAAAATAAAAGATGTGGCCTAGTCGGTAATATGACAGTGCTTCATGTGATTTGGGTTCGAGACTCGATTACGAGCGGCTCTGTTTTCTGAGCAAGAGATCAATTTATGTAATTGGTGTCTTCATTCCTCTCCTCAGGGGCGGACTAATCATCCATCCTGGAGTATTCATGTGCAAGTTAAGAAACCTTCTCTTCGAGGGAGACCGCTATGGCTTTTAATGAGTTGCAAAAGCGTAAAAATAAAATAAATGTTTTTTCAAGAAATTAAGAATAATGAATAGTAAAAAATAGTTTGTACCCCGTACAAACTTAAGATATATTTATATCTTAATCTATATCTTGAACAATAACAGAACTCTTCAATGCTTGATTAGTTGATGATGAAAAAGGTTTCATAATTTTTTAATATAAATTTCAAAACAATAAAAAGAGTAAGATTTCAATAGAACAGCTTAAAGATAGGAACTAGTAAAATACTAAAATAAAATGGATGAAAACAAATTAAATTGAACAACTACATCATATAAAATAAATTTTATATGTATAAAAATTATAATATTTCTCTAAATTTCTAGGGAAACTTTGATATTGATCCAAACAAAAGTTACCCGTGGAAACAAAAACCTTGACCTACTATCTGGTTGGTCTAAAAGATTCTGCGGATTTGCGGATCTGAATTTTATTGATTAGTATCCCAACAAGCGACCTTGACCGTTCTAAATCTAAGTAATGAATTTTGTTGTTTTAAACTCAACACAACAAACTTTTTTCATTGATTTTCAAAATATGCAATCAATTGTAAGGCAAATCAGTATTTATATAATTTATAGGTTGCAAAAATAAATTCATAATCAAGATGTTAGTTGTGATGCGTTTATAGAATTTAAACATCATTACTTATGAGTATATTTGGAAAGAGCAATTCAAAACTCAATTATTACAAAATGATAATTTATTTAAAAATCTAAGGGTTTGTTTTAAAAAACAAGTAACGTAAATTTTAAAATAATATCTATTTCTCGATTAATATGTGATTAAAATATTTTTGAAGTCTATATCCTATAAGGGTACCAACATGATTTTTTTGATGACAACATATTAAATGATCTAACTAAAAAAATTCTTATAGATATTATGTTTAAATTAATTTTCAATGATTAAAAACTGAATAACTAGAAAAAATAATGAATGAAATATTAAAATTGAAGTTTCACTGTTTTTTGTTTATAAATTATTTTTATGGATCAATTTAAACAAATAGGATAACTTACCTAGACATCGAAAAGTTAAGGATTCAAAGAAAAAAAAATTTAACTAAAAGAATCGAATTATAAAGTTATCAAATTTATTTTTCGATTAATTAAATGGTTTATAATAAAAGAATCAGTATTTTTTTTATGAAGTTCATATAAATGAGGACGCGTAATATCGGTCGCAATTTATTACACTCAAGATCAAGGTTTTCCAATATTTTTGGTTTTCTATGGTTTTCCAACACACACTCTCCGTTTTACCACAAACTATATGAAAATATGCTCTATGATTTCACTATAAGCTTAACGCACTTTAACTAATACTAGATTTTTTACAGATATTTACTAAGAATATTCTGATTGAAAATACAGCTCTAAAAATGGAATATTGTTGAAATTTAATTTTCAATTGAGCAATTTTGAGTACTACTGAGCGCTTATCATTTATTGATAGCGTATCATCTAAAGTAAACTTTAGGTATATTTACCATGATATATCTATCTATATATATATAGATATATAATAAATCACCATGATCATTTTATAAGTTTTCGTTAAAATATTTTCCTTGTATAAACGTTTAAATATATTTTACAATTAAACTTTATATTAAATATATTAACAAATAAAAATTATTATTATCAATTAATTTAATCAACAACTTTATTTTAAATATTAAAGATGGCTTAATCACAAACTATGAGATAAGAATTATTGTAGGTCTTTAATAAAAAGATAGTGTTTGTTTAATCATTTATAATTAAGTTTGAAAAATGAATAGAATATTTTCCCTATTTTGCAAATATATTACAACCCGATCATGTTTAACATCATCTAAAAATGGACTTTCTTACTTAGTTAGATCTTCTTACGTTTTGGGTGGTCAAATTAAAACAAATTTGGCTATAAAGTATGATATTGGATCTACAAAAAGATTTAAACGGTCGAAAAAAGATCCGGTGTGTACAACATTATTTTGTGTAACATAAATTTGAAATAAGTAAATTATCTGTTTTTTTATTAATAATTACTAAATTATAATTTATTTAAAATATTAAAGAATCCATCTTGGAGTGATGTTACTTGGATCAAAATATAATAAAAAATTAAAGCTGCAATTTTCTATTAAATAAAAAAGCGAAAATTAACTAAAAGTACCTTTTTTCCAGTATAAAAATATACACCAAATTAAAGATATATATATTTGCATTTTCACTGTTTTTTAATTTAATCATGAAGTTGATTTGTGTACATAAGATAATTATGGATATATGAAATGCTTTATGAATTAAATAGTATAACTAATGAGTAAATAAGTGTAAATGTTTTCTTTTATATAAAGATTATTATTTATAATTGTAGGATGAAAATGAAGATTCAGATGACTCAGATTTAGAACTAGACAATTGCAGCCAACTTATTAAATACAAAACAAGTTCTTTACGAATGGACAGTGTTTTGAAGCATGCATTAGGGAAATCAAGAAAGTAATTTTTTTTCAAAATGAAGTTTTTTTGGCTTCCACAAGTTATTAAATATTTTAATTATATTTATAGTAAAATTGAAATCGCCTTTTTTGAGAGCCGTATCAGAGTTAACGGGAAAAAAGTTTTAAAAAAGAGTCATTCTTTAGATGTAGGAGATGAAGTAGATTTAATCAAAGGATCTAGTCCAAGTAATCCAAACTTCCTTCTAGTATCTAGAGTTGAAATTCTATCAGCCAATCTAGATGGTCATGAATTATTAGTGAAGTTACGGAAATTCAAAAATCTTTTAATTGATAACTACCCCGATAAATGGAAAGCTTTGTCATCTTAACTAATGTAAAATTATTATAAGTATATTAAGTAAAATAAAATGAATGATTTTTTTAGTAATTTAGATAACTATTTAACATTATTAACTTCTCTGTAAATGTTTAATCTTCTACATAATAGTATAAAAATAGTCTCAGACAACTAGATTCAGCAGTATGATAATAACTGATAAATTTCATTTATTTCCTTGTACTTTTTCTGTTAAATAATTCTTTAGTTCTTTCGCTATTAAAATATATGTTTTAACTAAATAGTTTTAACCAACAAAAAAAAATCTTGTCAAAATATAAAAATTAGGGTTATAATTATTACATATATAATTTAATTGTTGAATTAAATAACATATGCTGTTTATTTTAGAAGTCAATAATAGAATAATTTATGTACTAAGCTCAATAAATTAATACAAAATTCCACATATTAGTTGAGTGTGTATTTATTAATTCGAAAAGTAAATAAGTGTTGTATAAAATAATGAGTCACAATTGCCAATATATTTTAGAGTAAATTGACAATAACTCAAAATTAACTTTATGGTACTTATCACATTATGATTGTAAGTCTTTAATTGATTAATCTTAATTGACAAAAATAAAAAACCAATAGAAATAAAATTAGTTTAAAATATATTTCTGTCATAAATTATGGTAACAAATTAACATGAATTATACCTCGCCTTCCATAGAATAAATTATATTATTAAAAAAACTAATGCTATAAACCATACATAAATATTGTTCAATAATTTAAATTTGCAATAAATAAAAAATAACATACATAAAATTGCATTAATAAAATCTTCACATTTAGTTTTATGCCATTGCACTGGCTGGTAATGAACTATGTTTTGGTTTCATTCTATTAATAAAAACGCGAATACAACCATTGAAATCAGCACTTACTAAGACATAGCCATCTTGACTTTTGTTCTCATCATTTTTCATTTGTCTGAAAACAATTTCTGGATTCGGGGCAAAAATTGCGCAAGTAACTACAGCATTATGAGCTTTGATTCCTTCCCAATAGTCATTTCGATCTCTCCTGACAGATGTAAATTTAGAATAGTCATGATGTGTTTTCCATATATAAATACACTGATTTTCAGAACCACATACAATATACTTTCCATCATGACTGAAACTAGCTTTGATCTGACTACTAATATTTACATATCCCTTATACTTACATGATAAATTTAGGTCTCTGAGATCATATAACCTGACTCTACTATCATTTGATGTTACCAAAATTTTATCTTCACCAGGCATGGGTTCAATGCCACTAATTTTACGTCCAGTTGAGTTTCTACCACGAGTTGAGCGTACATGTATTTGGGTGTGATAGCGTAACTGATCTGTAGTATAAAATATACATCTACCATCATATGACCCAACTACAGCAAATTTACCATTTTGACAGAAGTTTGCAGCAGTTATAAGTTTTGTTTGACCTTCAACTTCATTCCATACAGCAACTTTTTTATCAGGTATATTCCAAAGACGAAGTTTTCCATCTAATGATCCACTTAAAAAGTATCGGTCATCCCGTGGGTGAAAACATATTGCTGTTACAAAATCAATATGTTGAAAACAACATAGGCATTCTCTTCTACTAATATGCCACAATCTAACAGTTTTATCCATTGATGAAGAAAGAACAAAATAATTTTTTGACCATGCAATATCTAGTAAATCAGAGCGGTGACCATTATAGGTACAGAATGGCCGTGACATAAATGGGCCCCGATCATCAGGATCTATTAAAAAAGACTGATCATCAACAGAAAGTTGTGATACAAGTGATTCAGTTGATGGGGTAGGTGAAACTTTTTCAGCGTCATACTTTTTCCTCATTTCATGAAAATCTTTGTAAGCATCTTGTAAAACCCATATTCTAAGCACACGATCTTGGCCAGCTGTAGCTAATAGTCTTCCACACATAGAAAACTTCATACACCACACAGCTCCAGTATGCTCGTTGCAAAATTCCTAAAATATAAAATACATATAAAATTATTAAAGTTTATTTTAAAAAACAATGTAATATTAATAATATTTATTGTACTTGAACATGTTGAACAGAATCAAATTCATAAGGACCTTTATGACTATTAGAAGATCTTAATTTAAAAGGTTCAGATACTTGTGGGGAATTGGGAATATCAGCAGTAATTTGTGGTCTTTCAACTAAATCAACTATCTCCATGACATCCTCTTTATGACGTACATGAGATACTTCATGTGCAATTGTTCTAGCTTTATTTACAGTCTTTTTAACAGTAGTTCCTAAAAACCTTTTAATTTTTGCAGTACGACGACGAATGGCTGATTCATCAACAGGATCATCCCTTCCTGTAGCTACAGTATCATTTGATTTACTGCCAATACTTTCTTCATCTGATTCTTTAATTTGTTTAGTAGAATTGGTTTTGTAAGAGTTGGAATCCAAATTTGGGGTGCTTACATATTCTGATGTTAAACGCATTATGTGTAAAGATAATGGGTTAATACATTGAGGTAACTTATCCTCAGCTATACTTAATGGAACTCGTTCACCAGTGTCCAAATTTAATACAGTGATTTGTTCCAAAATTTCCTGGGGATTAAGATTTTTTTAGTACAATATTCAATAGATATTTATAACTTTATAATATAATATATTATAATAATTAATACTATAATTGAAACTAACTTAAATTATTAATATTTTCTTACATAGAATTCACAAATACTTAAATATATATTATTAAATAACTTACTATATCGGTCAGTTTTTTTCCTGAATCAGTATGAGTTTTCAAAAACATATTTAACTGTTGGTCACGCAATTCTTGTTCATCACCAGCAGATCTTCGTCTTTCTCTTGGAGTAACCCTTGTATATGAACGATTACATGTAATTCCACTTGTTGACATTGGATAAGTATTGCTGTGAGAACTTAATGTTCTTGATTTATCTTTAATTTCATCAGTAATTTCTTGAACAATATTTAAAACTGGTTTTTCATCATCCTACAATTAAAATTACTATTTAAATAAAATCTATAGTTTATCATTAAGATCAAACTTACACGGTGATTAACAACATATTGACCTTTTGTAGCAGATTGAAGATCTAAAGAATTTTCTAATTCTCTGGTTAAGGACTCAATAGTGCTTACCGGACTTGATAAAGAATTATTACTAGTTTCTTTAATTAAAACATTTAATTGCTGTGTAAAAAGGAAAATAAGAATTATTGGTAAATATAAAAAGCAGATAAATTAGAGTAGTATAATGTCTGTTAAATGTGTTTCAAAACAATATGTAGATGAACTTTAATCATTTAGAAAATAAATTATTTAAATTCTTCTACAATTTCTATTATATAGAAATTTAAAATATAATAAAAATATTATCAACGTACATTAGCATTATTTTTAGTTGTAAAACTGTTATTTTCATTAGCAGCTTGTTTGCGTCTCTTTCGTCTAGGAGGTGCAATTGGTTTAACATTTTCTATATTACATGTGCCATTATTTGACGTCTTTGTGCTTGCTATCACATCTGGTTCATTTAAAGTATTTACACTATCAACTGGAACGATAAATTTATCTTCTGAAAAGACTGGAGTACAAGGTTCCGATGATTTTAAACTTTCTGATAGATGAATATTATTTTCTTTCTCTAAAAATATTATAATTTAAAAAAAATTATGATAATGAAATAAAATACTTACCAAAGCATTGATCTGTTGAAACACTTCCTAGTAATCTGCCAACTTTTCCCAATGATAATATGCTTTGAACTGATACTCCATCAGGTTCAATGACACGAAAAGGATGGCTAGGTCTGTGTGAAGGTGCTAAAAAAACACCATCTGCTGATGACGCTTGACTTTCAGTAGGAGAAACTGGTTGTGTTTCATCCTCATCAATCTGCATATGTTGTCTAATTTCAAAAAATTTTCGCCGACTATTAACTTCTAAATTCTAAAAATCATTAAACAAATTAAATAATTATCATTAAAATTTAAGTTTTTATATATACTGGTTTAACAGTAGTATTTAGTTTGAAAGTCATATTTTTTTTTTTTTCTTCCATAACTTCTTTTTCATTTTTAATAGTTGTTTTAGTTTCATCACTGAAATATAAATAATTCAATATGATAATAAATCAATGATCAATTAAAAAGTTTTATTTTAACCACGATCGTTCAAATAATTTATTGATTAAATAAATTGAGATTAATAAAAAAAAGAAATAGTAAAAATATGGGAATAGAGAAATTTACTTTTCTGTGCAAATAGTTAAATCTTCAGCATCAAAAAATTCATCATTATCACTGTTTGAATTTGACATAGTTAACAATTAAACATTTTAACATTAACAAGGTGAAAAAAAAATTAATTTATACAAAGCATTATATTAAAGGTAGGAACAAGTAATAAAAAATTTATAGTATTAAGAATTCATAAAATAAAAATAAAATTGTGAAGTTTGTACGTTTTGTCATGTTATCTACCGTAATTCTCCTGAGAAAATGATAAGAATAATTTTTTGGAGTACTTGCTATAGATAATGAATATTAATCAGCTATGAATTTTTTGCTTTGTAATAAAATGTTATAGTCTTAGATTTTATAAAATGATAAAGGCTATGTTTTTATAAAATTTAGTGTGGTCTGTATTGTATAACTAAACAACTAAATTGTATATTATTACTGAATAATCAATGATATTTAACCAAAATTGCCTTCTACTTTAAAGTAAATTTTAAGTTTAAATAACTTTCATTTATTAAAAAAATTAAGAATGCTTTTTAACAATGAATTTCGAGAATCCAAATTGTGCCCTAACTTAACAATAACGCTTAAAGTCGGTGAGCTCTCCCATATACCAAATAGGAAAATCAAATTACCCGGCCCTAAAATTTTTCAATCAACCAATTTGAGTTAATTAAATTTTTTAGTTGTTTACCGCTTTATAATTTTGAAATAATTTACATTTACATTTAAATAACTAGAATTTGTGCTTAGATTACTTGGTTATCGCAGAGCGATCCTAATGACAAAATTTATAAAATATTACACAGAATATCTTGACTTTATAAAGAAAAGATATTCTGTGTAATAATTATAATTATAATAGATCATTATTTTATAATTATAATAATTGGACTACTAACCAATGAAATAATACTTATTATACGCGTGTCTAAAATAAAGTATGAAATATTTGGGACCACTAAACCCCATTTGTACTGTTCGTGGCACATTGTATAAGGGTTGAGGGACCTTGTTTTCCTCTCACTTACTTATCTTGATTTTTCACGTTATCGTCTCAGATTATTCTCTATTACCATTTACTCTGATGTATTATTTGATTGTGTTTCTTTAGTCTTTAGCTTGATTTCTTTCACATAGCTTAAAAACATGGTTAAAATAACTAATATATTATTAGGAAATAAACATACTTTATTGTTTAGAAGTGCCTTTCTTTTTATTAATACACTTCCTTTAATTTTAAACAAACGCTTCTAACAACTTCAAATTACTAGCCGAGATTCTATTATCATTTCAGGGAATATCAAGTAAGAGTAGTTTTGACACACTAACTACACTAATTAAGTAATAACTAGAAATCAAAGTACTTGTATTTATAATGTCTTAAAGAATGATAAATATAATTAAGTGTTCAAAAAATGTTGGTCACTATTAAGTATTCACTAATCAAGTAGAAAAAATATTTGATAAATTTTAAAATATTGCTTATTATAGTATGCAGTAAAAATATATTACTTAAAATGAATGGTATATAATATTCATTATATACAATATATTATTGCATAATAATATTCATTGTGTACGTTACTTCCATAATAAGTGTAATTTGCATTTACTTTTTTCAATTATAAAGCCACCTACTGTTTAATAAACCATTTATTTTTAAGTTTTGTACAATAAAAATTTAAGTAAAATAATCTATTAACTTCGTTTTTCTACTAGATATAATTATAAATTAAATCCACTTATTATTTAAAAGTTCTTGATAAATATTACATCTCATTAAATAATAATGACACATTGAAATTAAATTTACATATTTTTATTTTTGTACCATTTTAAAAATATTTTGATATTAATATTTTTATGCGCTTTTAAATTATTATGTTAATATCCCAGTAATACTATCAAAACTATACGTGCTTCGTGCTGCTATATTTCTTAAGTCAAATTTTAACTTGATTTAAATTCTGAATTATTAGCATAATTACACTAGTAAATTTAATTACTGATGTAAATTGAATGAAAGCGATTATCAATCGGATCAACTTATAAAAAAAATAGTTTTTCTTACATTAAATATTGTTAGAAATATAATGAAAATAAAACAAATTGTCAACTAAATAAATAGTATCTGTGGGTCTTAGACATTACTCCACAATACTATTTACCACCATCGTACATTTTAATTACTTGAGGTCTATTTAAAAAGAGGTTGTAAATTAATTAACAACCTCTCTCTTATGTCTTTTAAGATTCATTAAATGGTTGATCTATGTAAATATAACAGTAATGGGGAATTAATCCGGATTTCGAACTTCTGTGTAAAACATTCAGATTCAACAACAAAACCCAAAACAAAAATGAAAAGACCTGATAAAAAGATTAATTCCGAAGTTTGAATTTCATACTCAGACTTTTAATTATTAATAAAAAGTGATTGTTTTAGCGTTAACCTCTAGATTTCTTCTAAAAAAATAATAATTTAGAGAAATTTTTCTTTAGCTTATTTTAATAGTATTTATTTCTCAATTTAAAAATGGTTAAATATTTTTTAGGTTTATCCATTATTATTTATGAATATTTTCATACTTGCACGGAAAAAAGTAATGTTTAATATAGTGATAAATTTAAGAAAAGCGATGGGAAAACTAAATAAATGATAGGGTTAGCCGAATATTCAGTTATTACAACTATCTTAATTGTAGTTATTACTATATTTTAACCATTGATAAAAAATACACTCAAAATCCAATTTCTGAACTTCGGAAAATCCGAATTTTCTTATCACTGACATAGATACATAATTACATTGTTTAAAATGGCGAATTTAAAAAATGTTAACAATTTTCATAGCAAATGACAACAGTGAGCCAACCTATACATTAGTTAGCTATTTAATGTTTCTTTAGAAAGTCACACTGTAAAAAATAATTGTGTCTAGGTGTTTATATCTATTTACTAATTTATAAACTGATAGCACAAATTTAATGAACATTTTCTTGCATTGCTTTTTAAAATTAATAAGATACGTTTAAATTGTGCCGTTTGACATGATTAACAGCCGTTGGTTTAATTATTGAATATATTACTTTTTTATTGAGTTATATTTATCAAAAAAAAAAAACTTATTATGAACAATTTTTCCAGATAATGATTTCAGTAAGTAACTTTTTATTTTTCATCAGTTCCAATTATCTTTGTTGTGTAATTTGTAATTGATTTTTTAACCCTATTGTTTTTTAAGTAATAGACTTTGTTTAACTAGTTAATATTCGCGTATTACTGTAATTTCTACATGTACCATTGAAGTTCTCCCAATATTTATTTATTGTCCAAAGTTATCTGTTAAGTTTTAATAGTAATAGTAATCTGGATAGTACACAAGAATAATTAATATATTTTTTTTAATTCCAAAAGTATTTTGCAAATTAGAAGTTGCAGACTTTTACATCATACATAAAACTTATATATGATGTTATACTTAGTACAACTATTATAGATGTAATATATGTTTTAATAACTATATCAGTTTTTTATTTTTGCTTAATTTATCATTAATAATTTTAAGGATAGATACCATAAATACATCATGAGATTATATTCATTACTTATATCTTCTTAAAATTGTCAATAGATTTAAAAATTAATCTGTTAGAACTTATTCATTAATTATAATACTTTGATACAACTTTTTTAATTTAGGTTATTGTGAATTTCAATAAAGCAAACTTATAGTGAAAAAATATGGCATCAACTAGTAAAGGTATCTTAATTGGATCTTCATGGTTCCAACGTAAAATCAACTTACGTCCACAACACAGGGGTGTTCATTTAATTACTGAAGAAATCCTTAAACAAATTCCAGAATTATCTTATTTCTCAGTTGGCTTGTGTCATATTCAAAGTGAGAACACCAAGAAATAATATTAATTTTTAAAATAATCTATGGAATGTTATGAAACAAACTTCAAAGTTAGTTTCATAAAAATTTCAATTTACTTTTTCAAAAATAATTCTTTTATTATTCATTTTAAATATATTATATGTAATTATTATGACACTCAAGCATAAGTGTGTGTGTTTATATTAATAATTATATCAAAATTATTATAATTATAGATTTGTTTTTTTTTTTAGTTTTGCATACATCAGCTAGTTTAGCAATAAATGAGAGTTGGGATCCAAATGTTAGGTATGTTTACTAAATTAAATATATACCTATTATTATTTTATAATAAATTATAATTTTATAATTTTAGAGATGACATGGAGATGATGTTGAACAAAATTGTTCCAGAAGTGAGTTTTTAACACGCTTATATTAGTTTCACCTGTATGTATGTATGTTTGTAACTCTCCAAACGTCACGCTTTTTCGCATATTCCGTCATCTAGACTAGACTGTCATAACGCATTCACCCCTACCCACGCCTCGCTCATCACACGATGGCACACTATTCCTATAAAAATTTATTTTTAGTTATCGTACCTGCGTGCTTGTCATCAANACGCGTGCTTGTCATCAATATTATATATATATAAACAAATTTTTATTTTGACTGACCAATACCGCCCGCGTCTAATGCGCCTTACGTATATATATTTATATATTCCTACCACCGTTTATACCATAGGTATAACATTAGTCCGACCCGCCCGCCCGCAAAATACGGTTATACCTAGTGCATGATACGTTTACGTACTTAAGTCGCTTTACTTGTATATATATATATATTCTAATTACTATTAAAATTTATTTATTAACACGCTTTATTTTAATTAAGAGATATAAAGTATTCATTCCGATTACGAGGGATGATTTCCGTATTGTCATTTTTCATCACTACCTCCACGTTCCGGGAGTGAGTAATTTACGCGCCTGCTGCTTTACTTGGATGTGGTAGCCGTTTCTCAGACTCCCTCCCCGGAATCGAACCCTGATTTCCCGTTACCCGTAAGAACTATGATATTGATAGTAACTACTATCATAACATGAAACTAAAAAGTAAAAAATAAATATAGTTTAAAAAACTAAAAAAACACGCTTTTAAAGCGCATCGAACTAAAAAGTTAAAAATAATTTTTAAAATAATTNCGAACTAAAAAGTTAAATATAATTTTTAAAATAAGCTTAAAATAATTATGAATAAAAAATACTAGTATTATTGTGATAAAAGCATGGGTGCTTTATGCCATATTTTACGTATATTGAGCGCCCAACGCTTTTATCACAATAATACTAGTATTTTTTATTCATAATTATTTTAAGCTTATTTTAAAAATTATATTTAACTTTTTAGTTCAATGTGCTTTAAAAGCGTGTTTTTTTAGTTTTTTAAACTGTATTTATTAGATTGGAAATTCTTACCATCTATTCCTATTTATATTATTTTACTGTACCTTATTCAAGTTACTTTATAAATTATTACCTAATTTTTATTTTTATGATATTCAACTCTTTAATTTTTTTTATTATTTCAGGGTTTACCTTACAGACATTCATGCGAAGGTCCTGATGATATGGTATTTTATTTTTTAATTTTTGTTGATTCTTATTTTCATAAAACTTTTTTTAGCCTGCCCATGTAAAAGCATGTTTCTTGGGATCATCAATTACTATTCCAATAACAGAAGGAAAACTTAATCTTGGAACTTGGCAAGGAATATGGTTATGTGAACATCGAAATGATGCAGGTAGTCGAAAATTAGTAATTACATTAAATGGAGCTTCAAATTCATCTGCAGGAGACTTAAATAGGTCGCCTATTACACCAATCTCACCAGTGGCTTCATTAAGCAGCTAGACTTAAGATTTAAAGATTGATTAAAACTTTATAGAATTAATTAACCTCTTCTAGTCAAAATCTTATAACACACATAAAATAATGTAATTATTAAATTTATTTCTAATTTGGATTTATAAGTGAATACTTAACATTCCATCAATATGTAAAGCTCTTTCCTAAACATACTAATTTATGTAACTTTCATACATATATGTATGTTAATTTTTTTTAAATAGTCTTCAACTGACTTGATTTTTAAAATTTAACATTTTATTTTAGAAATTGCATTTATGATTGAATTAAGATTTATTCATATGCATTATTTTGTGTATTTATATATATAAATATTACATGATTCAATGAGTTGTTTTTTTGTCAATAATGTTCTAATAAAAATAATGAGATTAATACTACATTTAATAGTTAATATTTAAAAAATATAAATAATTTATATATATATATATTTGCTGGAACATGAAATCTTACAATTTGTTAGACTTTTTTATTAATAATAAAAATTAAGGAGTGCATTGGTAAAATAAATATAGCATATAATAATGTTGTTAATAAATAAGTATAGTTAATAACTATGCTAATTTTAAACAAATTACAATAATAAAGAATTCTTGTGACTAATTCTAATAAATAAAATAATATAATTATGAAGTATTTTTATCTATAATATAATTATCACATGACATTTAATTGTAATAACTTGGATGACATTTGGTATATTTATTACTATGATAAAATAAATATAGTCTATATAACCAATTAATTATTTTTTTGTTTAATATTTTTAATAATATTAACATGTATAATTTAATTAAAAACAAAAGAAGTTTTATTTGAAAAGCTCATTTATGTATAAATATATTTTTTATTATTACAAATAATAAATTAGTCATTAAATATTTTCTAACAATGCTTAAAATATTGCAAAGTTGCAAAATTATTTTAAACATTCTGAATATTTTATAAAATAGGAACATAATTAATAACATTAACAATACTTAAAAATAAATCGATTTAATTTAAAGATTAATTATTAAACTTTATTATGCAATGGTTAAGAAGTCCAATTAGTACACTTTTATCACATGTAATGTATCACAGTTTACTTTAAAATTATTTATTAAAGAATAATTCAAGGTCGTATTCAGGGCATGGCAAGAAAGCATAGAACAAAAGTACAAATTTTAGAATTATTTTCTATAAATTCTAGAAAAGTATTATTATAAAGTATGTATATATTAACATTTGAAAAAAAAAAACAATTTCTTTTTTTGAGGGGCACATCTGAAAGTACTGCCTGGGCAAAACTAAAGCTAAATACGACTCTGGAATGATAAACTAATTATTTAATAAAATTCCTGCAATTTTAATACATTAATTGTTTAGATAATTTTATTTATTTTATGAAAAAAAAAATGACTGCCAACTTATTCTTATTAATTTAATAATAAGTACACAACATAGCATGTTTTAAAATAGTTTTACAAAAGTAAAGGACCCATGTATTGAAATAAATATGTATTAACTAATAACATTTGTATAAATAATATTTATATAATAATTTTTTAATTGTTAACATATATACAGGATATTCCACAGTGATTTACTAATTTGACTGTATAAACTAATATTGAAATTAGTAAATCACGGTGGGTCACCCATATTCATTGAACATATATGCTTATAATAAATTAAAGATCACCTTAATTTGATGTACATTAATATATCATTAAACATTGAAATATTTACTGAACTATGATACAAAGCTCAATTAGTTCTACAAAAATATTTTACAATTTTATTTTTTTGTATTTATATTTTACATTAAAAAAATATTTATAAAATTTGTACTTCATAAATGTTTGCAAACTTACAGTATCATCCTTAGCTGATTAATTGTTTAAACAAACTTTTGTGATATTCATGTTTTGTATTTGTTTAAAACTGCCTAATTATATTTAATAATGAATATATAATAGTCTTCTACTTATAATATAGTATTAAAATCCAAGCAAACAAAAACAATTTTTTATGAATTGTTCTTATTATTATGCACAAGTTCAACTACAGATTTTGATTTATGTAGACTTTTACTGCTGACATCCTAAAAATAAAAATGATTGAAATAAATTAAAGTGTAATGCAAGTTCAAATAGCATAATAATAATTTAAAAAAATAAAAAATGAACACATAGAGGTGAAGTAGATGTAACTAACAACTTTTCTAAATTTTAACACAATTAGAATTTTGATGCAAGTTTTTTTTTTTTAACAAATTTTGTATTTTTAAACTATATTAATAATATATTTTTTAATATTAATTTTTAACAATAATAAAAATGATAGCATAATTTCAGTAGTATTAAAAGTTTTCAGAATTGTTTATTAGATCTGTTCTGTTCTGTATAATAAAGAAAAATTTTATTTTGTAAATTTATCTAATTAGATACTTAAATTATTTTTATTTTTTTACCATATAAATTTATATTAACTTAATAAAAAGTGGAATTAATGATAAAAGAGTTCTTTTAAAACATTAAAAACATTTTATTTTAACTATTTTATATTTGTTAGTATAGGATCAGAGGAATGTATCAACCAAAAATAATTTTTTTTAAACTCTATAATCAAGTATTTTTCTATTATTGTGTATTACAACAATAGAACTTGTAAGTTAGTAATTATAGTCTTTGTTAAAAACCATTTAATGTTTACATGATTCAAAAACTGAATTTAGCATAAATAATTAAGTAAAATTATTTGAAAAATTAACTATTTTTGGTTCATATACGTTTTTCTGATTTTACACTCATTAATTAAAATTATGAAGAAATAATTTAACAGAATCAAAAATGAAATGGATGTATTTGATAATCTAATTACATTAACTTCCTGAACATTATACATAGAGTCAGGCATAGATTTTGAGGTTCTTAATATACTTTTAGCTGTTTCATCTACATTTACTCCAATATGCATCAATATTTCAGTCATTTTTTGTGGATAATCAAAGTGACCTAAAAATAGAAACACGTTCATTTTTAAAATAAGTTTTTTGTTTCTCTTGTAAAATTGGTAAAATGTGACTTATAAAGTTTTGTCACATAGCCAACAATATACACTTTAGTTAATATATGATCCAAATACATTTTTTTTTAAATTGAAATAAAAATACTTGATTGACAGTATTCAATACCTGAAACAATATCAGTTAAATCTATATTTTCTATATTTTCTAATTCTATATTCTGAAGACCAGCTACACCATTTGTGTGCATAGATAATGTTCTATATAGGAACTTTAATAACCAATCGCTCCTGCAATTATAGCAAAATTAAATAACCAATACATTAAGAATAATGAGAATATTCTACCTTCAAAATGGTATTTTATTTTTTTATATATTTATTTTTGGTTACCATTTTTACCAGGAGTAGAGCATATAGCTTATACTACTTACCTACAGTAGGCATTCACAACTCTACCTGCTACAACTTGAGTGATTTTGTTCCAATCTACTGTATGCCTTGTACATGGAGCACCAATTAAAATAGCATCTTGAATAATACCATGACTATTTTCTCTCTGAGACATTTCCTAATTATGGTTTAAATTTTATTATGTTAATTACATAAAGATTCTTAAATAAAAAGATTATAATAATGATCTTATAAATATATAATTCTACATTTTGTAATATAATTCCAAAAATATTATATATTTATTAGAAATATTTATCAAAGTAAAATAGTTGATGGTAGCAAATTAGTCTTAATAAGTTCTAATAAATTCAAAATTATAATTTAGGCCTCTGGCTACTTACCATAGAGATGTCTATGGGTAATGATGCAATATTCATTAAAATAAAGTAAAAATTAAGACAGATGGTTTGAGAGGGGTAAATCAATTTCACTTTCTTAAAAAGTATTTTATATAATAAATGAATTTTTTGTTAGTGGGACGGAAAGGAAAGAAATTGGAATAGGTATTTCAAATTCGGTATTAACTTTAATACCAGTATTATTTAATATGCCGAAAAATTTTGATATTCATGGCAAATATCTTTTTTGGTAATTATTGTTTATTATTAATATTTGAAATTTCATTGATATTTATTAAAGTTGTATGTTTGTCATTAGAGCTTGGACTGAAATGTCCTTAAAAACTTATAAAAATAAAGCTTTTTTGGTGTTAAGTTAATTTTCTTTATATTTCTTTCATTACAATTTAGTTACTTTTAATACATCATTATTGATGAAAAAAAAATGTTAAGACCTAAGTTGTTTGTAATTTTTTTTTCTATCTTATAATCTAATTCTATAATATAAAGTTAAAAATAGGGGTTTCCATTTAAGAAAATTAGAAATAAGGATTTTTATCCTTGAAGGGACATAAAAAAAATGATTTATTATTGTAGTTTTTACCCGTAAACAATAAAAGATTACACGAGCTCCAAGACTGTATCCAATTAATGTCACTGGACGATTACCATGACTGCGTGTTAATAATGTTTCAGCCAGTTGTTTTCCAACTTGAGCAGAACGACGACAACAAACACCCCAGGGATTATCAATAACAGAAGATAGACCCAGAATACCAGCTGGCCAAGCTATAGCTGCCATCAAACCAGATAATACAGTAAACTTTAGTGACTCCTGAACTGCTACAGTAACTGCAAAACTTAAGAAATATTCCATAGATCTTCCAAGCTCTAAAAGATATGATGATTCATAACGAAGATAATATTGTTCTGGACTATCCTACATAACAAATAATGAACAAGAAATTTTAGCCAATTCAATCAAAATTTTTGTTATATAATTAAATATTATGTACCCGAAGGTATTCCCATGGACCAATATAACTTTTTTCTTTTTCATCATTTAACCAGCCAGATATAGCAATAGTAATATGTAAATGGACATCACCAGAGTTTGTATCTGTAGTTAATTTATGAAATTCAAATTCTTCTATGTCACCGACTCTCTTATGCATTTTATAGCCTTATTTTATATTCAAATAATAGATTAAAAAATATCTGTGCAAATAACATTTATATTTCATTACCTGTTAAACTAGCTCCAGCTACACCAAAAAGTGATCCAACAATAGCTGAGCCACCTAGTGTACCAATAGCAGCAGCGATAGAGCCACCTAAAACACTAGCAAGACCTGAACCAATGAGAGGAGCTGCTAAACCTCCAGTTAAGCCTATAAGAATTCCTCCACCAACTGAGGCTAATCCAATCATTGCAAATCGTTTGGTTTTTGATACACGTAAACGTCTAGCTGCATCAGCTTGCTCCTGCCTAAAAAAAAAAAATGACAAAAAAGTATAATATACATTATAATATACATTGTAATATAGTTTGTTATTTTACTAACTCAGTTTGAGCAGGTGAAAAATTAGATAAACTATTGACAATTGATAGTTCAATAATATCTACATCACTTAAATCCAGCTCAAAAACTCGAGTAACATACAATATAAGAACTCTCCAACGAGCATCATATACTCCTAAACATCAATAAAAACACAAAAATATAGTAAAAAATAATAAAATATTGTGACCAATAGTGGTACATACCAATTTTTAAGCCTTAGTAAGCAGAATATTTAAAGAAAAATTTTACTGAATATTAAATTCTATTACAAAAATTATATTATAAAGCTATTTAAAATTTTACCATTTGAAATAGCAAGAAGCAAAAGATCCTTTACAATAACCAGCATGTCTTTATTAAGTACTTCTTCTTTTTTAAGAGCTCTCACATAAACTTTTGCATCTAAAGGTAGTTCACAATTAGCCATTTCACGCATAGTTCTTAATTGAAGCATTAATCGTAGATGATTGCAAAGAGTTCTCAAGCAATTTAATTTAAATTCATTATGGATTGAATCTCTATATAAGTAACTTAGAGAAGTAGCACACAAAGCACAATATGAAAAACGCCCAGTTGATGATAAACATTCTCCAAGATCTTTATGTTCAATAGAATCTAAAAAAAAATGTAATGAATATTTTTAAAAATAAAAAATTACTCTTTGTTGTCAAATTAATTATACTATGTTCAACTTTTATTTTAGTTAAGCAAATCATTAATTATCAGTTCATAAAAAATGATAGAATGAGACATCAATATTAATTATGAAAAACAACTTGCTATAGCAAGTTATAAAGAGTGATTTTATTTAATTTTCAATGAAAGCCCCCAATTATATTAGTATAAATCAATTTGCACTAATAAAAATTTATATTTAATTTTTAATTTTCAAAGACTATTATAATTATATAAAATTGATCATTAATTTAAATTTAAAATGGACAAAAATAACAATTATATATATTTAAAAAAAGAACGGTTTTATTAACAGATTTTTTAACAAATATTAATTATTGAGGAAATTTCAAACCTTTAATGTACTTAGATGCTTCGACGGCATAATCCATTGTTATAAATTGGATACTTAAGACATTTAAGAATTGAAACTTAAAGAGGAATTGTTAAATTTTGTTTATTAATTGCACCTGTTTTTGTTAATTGTTTAAACAATATGTTTTTAATTGGTCGTTTATGTATCGACTCATAATTAAAATTGTCACGCAACTTTGTTCAGAAGTCCTTCGAAAAAAATGGTAAAGCAGAAATTAATAGGAGATAACAGATGTATTGTTTTAACTATCGATATAGTCATTTAAATGAAAACAAAATGATAGTAATAATAGAAAGATTAACTATAGTAATGTAGATCGAGTCAATTTATACAAAATTTACTTTATTATGAAATTAAATAATGGAAAAAATAACTATTATAATTTTATTATTTAATAAATCGATTCTTTGCAAATTTTCAAATATTATTTGAGGTGTGGCACAATAATTAGGAAATATCAAATGTTAATGTATAGTTAACATTATTAAATTCAGTAATTCATAATACTTAGAAATATATTTTAATAAATAATTTATTAGAATGTAACATAAAGTACTAAAAGAACAAATTATTCACAAAATTAATAAAATTTTTATTATCATTTTTTGTTATCATAAGTAAATATATTTTTTATTGTTTTAATCATCGATAACTGTTATTCAGAAAAAAAAGAATTTCTGGAAGTGAACACTCGACTTTTCTTTGTCTATTGCAAATTGTGATAATAGCACACATGGTCCAAGGTGGATAATATTACATTAAAATAGACTTAAACGTTGATTACATATCATTAGTGATATTGAACTATCTGAAGGTTATCATTTTTTTTTAACCGTATTTTGTATTTTACATGCAGTGCGGACAACTTCTGTTTTGAAATTGATATAACATAGATTTAGTGGGAAATTTCATGTTCGTGTGGTCGGTTAGCATGACGCCATTTTGCGGCCATCGCGTCTTCCTTTCTTTTCTCTTTCCCATTCAGTTATCCGTCAACGCTACGGTGGTGTATGTCCTTCGTTGTTGTTGTTGTGGCTTGAAATTATTTTTGTATTTCTTTATTCTCGGGTGTTCATTGTGTCTTTACAGCCGCCGTCGCCGCCCATACAGTGTTTTATCGTCGCCATGGCGTCCGATTCGCGTTTGTGATATAACCGTATTCGGTTAACTTATATTGCAGTGTTTCGGGTGTTGTGTGCATAATTCGTTTATTTCACATTATATTGTTATTGTCGTGTTAAGTAGTGTAAACGAAGTCTGAAGAAAAAAATAATTCTAATTTCTAAGTGCGACGGTTATTAAACTTTTTTTAATCAACATGGATGGTAGTGATACTGGTGATTCAAAATCCGGGTGCGGTTGTAGCGCTACGGCCACCTCTGTTAATAATAATAATGATGGGACGGCAGTCGGTACGACGGCCGCGACCGCTGCTGCCGCTCAGCAACAACAACAACAGCAACAACATCATCGGCAGCGAACTATCGGCGATCCCGGCACGATCCCTTCAACGGACGATACATCCGAGATTACTATTACCGTATCGCCCACTACAGGAGGTCAGTTCGACCTATCCGTGCTCAAAACCGACTCCGTGGAGAGCCTGAAAAAAGTGATTTCTAAACGTTTAAGAGTACCTAAAGAGCGGATATGTCTGCTGTACCGAGAAAGGTGAGAAATCTCACTTTCATGCTGATTTGTTATACCCTTTGTTGATAATCCTTAATAATAACCCCATACGATTGTCAGTGTAGGAAATATTATTTGTTTATATATATATTTTTTAATAATAATCGGTAGGGTACAATATATATATATTTTTACCATGACTGTACAAGTTTTTATTATTCTAATATTATTTAGCGCAGATACCGAAGCCTAAAGTTGTTCCAAAGTGCAATATTCAGCTCGGCATCGTGCTCCCGGAACATGGTACTTCCGAACGATAAAACAATTTTGACGAGAATAAATTTTATTGAACTTATTCTCGGATTTCTGGGGGCCACCATCCCTATATACGGCTAATTTGGAGTCATGCGATAGTACCTGAAATGACTTGTAGTTTAAGAAAATAGTACGGACGATGGGACGTTTCGGATAGTTTTGTCGTGCGCGGTTGTGCGACGTTGCCGAATTGCGTCCACATACACTTGGTCGGTGTAACAAAAATGATTTCTATTGTACAATTGTTAATTCCCTTATACCCTTTACCTGGTGCCGGACGCCATAGACTGGTGATCAGTGGGTTTCTCTTGGACAAATCAATTCTAGAATTATTACAATATTATAAGAATTTTTTTAGGACTTTGTTAAAAATTAGGGAAAATATTTCGTGTATATTTCAAATGAATGCATTTTATTTAGCAAAACTTAATGAGCTCTTGTAAACGTCAGTAGTGCTTTAGCATTACCGACAATCTGATTGTCTTATAAAATCCGTTGTGTTAGTAAATTTTCATCAGATTTTTTATCTCATGAGTTTATTTCATCACTACACAGCGACAAATTTACATAACGTTTACAAATCCGATTAAATTAGTTGTGTTAACATAAGTAACCTACTTCCACTTTTTGGTTTTTTTTTTTGTACTTAGTAGTTGTAGTTTACGTGTTTGTTATAATTTTGAATAGTATCGTGACTTGAATCATACTATGTGTATATAAGATGGTGACCCTAACAGCTGATAATAGTTGATTCTAGGGGAGCTGCAATACGGCTGCGGCGACGACGACATCGGACGCCATTATATTGGGGGTGAATAACCCGTCGCCGCCGCCGCCGTGCAGTCCCTCCAGACAAGTGTAGAGCAGTCAGCATCACCAATAGCAGCTGCCCAGGGTTTTGAGGTCTCATTGTGAGTGTAAAAGACCATCTTTGTGCTGCGTGGCATCTGGCAAGGCATCATGGTTACATGCGAAATGAATTTTAAAATACTTGACTTAAATTCGCGCGCGCGTGAAAAGTCGCTTTCACCAATCAAATTGGAAATCTAAGGGGCTCTCAAACTCGGTCGTTCTATTGTTTATCGCTTGCCGCAATGGTTCTCAGACCGTGTTTATGGTATATTTTGTTCTTCGGAATAAATTGCAATTAACATAGTAATTATGTCCATTTATTCAATTGTATATTATTTCATACTTGCGTGTAACAATAATAAATTATAATCTGTTAAAGCAACATTGTGGTGTTGAAGTGTTCGGGGGATAAAACGATGCGTCGCGTTATTCGATATGTTCGTGTAACGTAGTTGTAACCGCAATTATTTTTGTTGCGATAAACCTTGAAAAAAGTTGTTATATAAAATTATATTTTTGTTGAGTGTTATGGACTCTTTATAGTGATAGACACGATTAGTATATTGAGCATTAATGTAAAAAAATGTTTGTTTAAAAAAACATTTGTTCTACATTGTATGACGAAACAATACCCATATCTATACCTCTAATTTTATGTGTATTTATGTTTTTTTTTTTTTATCTCGCAGGCAACTAAGAGACGGTTCTTTGGACGACAACCAGTTGATGCAAGGAAGCCGGCTCACCCTATTACCTAGCGTCGAAACCGGTCTTCTGGTGAGTATTATTATATTACAAATATTGTTAAGTAAAGTATTAGATCTTCGGTTTCGTCTTCTTGTTCTTTGGTCTTGCAATGTCCCCACTACTTGTCATAATAACAATAGCATTTATCTTGTACGAATATGTTTCACACATGACAAAACGTGGCAGTATCGGCTATTGCGGGTTTGTTGCTACTCTGTGAGTTTAGATGAACGACGAAGACGTCGCTCAGAGTACTATTGATAATAATCAAAGGCCTAATCTATTGTGCAAGAACGCCATATCACATTTTTAACAATTTATTTTTTGTGATTCATTTTACAATATTGCAATAGAAAAGGAATAGTTATTAGGTTATTGTCGAGATAATTTTCACGGGTCTGGCCATTTATTTTGCGTTTTTATTCTATGTAATTATCTCATTGATAAGCATTTTTCTGTTTGTATTTAAAAATAATAAATTGGTATCCGTTTCAAATGATTCGGTCACTTGGCATTTTCAGTTTAGTTACGGCCGTTGTTATGGACACCGTCGTTCGAATTTCGTTATGTTGATAGAGTAACTTGTAACATTAGGTCGTGATAATAACAAGGAAATAGATTCGTCACATTGATATTACTTAAAAAATATTCTAGCATAAGAAATCTAAAAAAAACAAAAAGTAACCCCGTCATATGATATAATACTATAATTAGCATTTAAACGGACTTAGTCGATAATGTCCTTTGTTTTTGTTTACACAACGTTGTTTCTAACCGAGTAAATCGATATTAAAAGTTATGTTTTGGTTGTTAGGTGCTTATTATATATTATAAACTAGTTAAAGAACACGATTTGAGTTCGTTGTTTTGTTCTATGACGTTAGTGCGATTAATGATTATTATCATTGCACTTCGTCCAATTCCAATAACGTTCACGAAAACATAGCCACAGTAAAATTTATTATTACATGAACATATTTTAATTTGCTAACATACCAATTGTATTACTAGTTTCATCTTTTTTTATTTTTAACAATTGTGAATCAATGCACAGTATGTGTGGCGTACGTTTTCTTTTTTTATATATGTTTTTTTTGTCAAGCAATAAGTAGTAAATAGTACGCACCTTTTCTATCATAACCGGCGTATCGCTTTAACGTGATTTCACTATGCCATACATTTTTCATATTTCTCAACATAGTTAAGCTTGAGTTATTCAAGAAAACTTAATCAAAAGAGACTTATTTCTTTTATTCAAAGTCCGACACGTTGTTATCACTTAAAAATATATACATTAGCGTTATTGTTTCTAACTGAAGACGTAACAACGAAAAAAAAAATAACTTAGTGTTTCCCAAACTAGTAAAGTATTATCTATATGAGCCAACTAACACCACGTTCACTAGTTTTTATTCTCGTCCCGGATGTATATAGTCAAGCCACTCATTCATAAGTATGAAATATTTTCAATTAGTTGGCAACTCGGCAAAAAAAAAAAAATCCTCGTAACAATATTTTTAAAAATACTGAAATCGTCCATTTATAATAGTAATCTCGTGTAAACTGTTTATGAGTATTGTGATATAATTGATCTTGAACAATTTCAGCTAAAATAAACGGTTATTGGTTGCGTGCAGGGTTGTATCTATCTGGCTGGTCACAATGGTAAAAGCACGGTTTTTGTACTCGGTTCGTTACCGCCTTTAGTTGTACTAAAAACTATGCGGGACCGTTATTATGTCCTTCGTTTATAACATAATGTATTTTTTCGGGATACCCTGTGTGGTGTGCTGTAACGGGGCGGCGGCCCGTTATGACTGTAGTAACAGCCTGCCGCCTTAGCCGACGGGTCCCGTTGCCCGGGTAACGGGATCCGGGCAACGGTATACACCGCGTGGCGGTTCTATCTCGTCGCTAGCGCGTACTGAAACGACGCTGAACGCCAACGGTCAACACCGTTATGACCCGATCATCACTGCACACACATACACACACACACACCAACTACACATGTCCGCTTGGGATGGGCTCGATTGGGATCCGTTTCGAATACACTTCATTAAATGCTGGCCCATCCAGTACATCTCTGCACGACCAAAAAAATGTTGACAATCACTATTTTTTAACGTTATCACTATTTTTCACTGCCAATGTAGTTACTTACCCCGGCGTCATGGCGAGCTTGGTTGATAGCGATCATACTACCTATGCCTATATTGTTTCTTTGTCATAGTCTTTTTTACGTCATTGCTACATTTTTGTTTTTGAAACCGTTAAAAACAGTAATATTTCGTGTGTAGGTTGAAGTTTAATTTTTACCTTTGACTTCACAAGCGGCCACGTGTGTTTAATAAGTCACGTTTGACGAAAACAATTTGATTGTTTGTACTTTCGAATATAAACAGCGCTAAAATATAAAAAACTGATAGTGGTATTCTTGTGTTTATTCCTCTAATACAAACTGAGCTGTTGAAAAATGCGTCAACGATAATGTGTTTGATTCCTTATGAATTTAATTTTAAGTCTTATCGCGAATATTTGTCGTATTCTTCGAACGGTTTATCATTAACTGCTGTATGACCTGATAACAATTACCGTTGGCTCGACACTTGTTTTTTAGCTTTGTGTTTTATCGGCCAAGGCGTAATAGAACAAACGCACTTCACTAAATTTCCTCTCGACTAAAGCTTATCTCTTAACCGCCACTTAAACATATGGGATTATGTTTCCAGGGAAAATGTAATATTGTCTTACAATAGCTTATAACCGTACTGTTATAAAGTTCTGGTTTTGTTTTAACTTCATAACACATTTAGTAAATGTTATTTATTAGCCAAAGTCGGTTATAATTATATTACAGATGACTTTAACCGACGACGTTATCGATAAGACTCGTTTTAAGTTTTATTAGATGTTCAACATTTTACTTGTCCGTTGTGTTAGCTTTTATTTTGTCGAGTTACTGAAGACCATAAATTACAAATGACGTTGGTACTGTATGACTTGACGAACGTTGTTCCAAAATTTTATTGTTCCAGTCAGTCAGTGAAATTTATAAAATTCATTTTCTATAATTACTTGTATTTAAATAGCAACTAGAAAAAGTCGTTTTACTAGTATTATAATGGGACTAAATTTTGTATTTTGATTTTATCAAGCCAATTCGCAATAGGTCAAGTGTAGTTTAAGTGCGTTCTTATCGTAACATTTTACGTGCTACCAACAATTTTAACATTTAACAAATTGTGCTCATAATTCATAAAAATAGTGAAATTACACGACCAGTAATTAAATTACATGCCCAATTGACAACGAGGTTACTCATTCGGTCAATTTCTCTTATCTTATCACATTTGTTATCGACAAAATTTGTCGTTGTTATACATTTAACGTATAAACATAAGTAGTAGTAATTTTTAATTTTATTTTAACATTTCGTACAACAAAGAATCTTAAAATATTCTTAACTGTCACTTGATAATTGTTATTGTTATTATTTTGTCAACCATAGACAGTCCTTGTATAAATGTAAATAAATCCATAAAGTCTATAAACAGTTTTTGTTAAACTGGACGTAAATTTAAACGTCTAATTTATCGCACAATGTTCATTAGAAACGGGTGCCGTTTTTTTAACGGAACTTGAAACTAGTTGTGGAGTAGACCTTGCTTTTAGAATGTTTAGGCTCAACGTGTAAAAGTGGATCACCGTCGCTTTGCCGTAATGAATTTTATGTATTTTATATATATATATTTATGAAGCATTATCATCATGTATATCAAAGACTGCGGGCGGCAGCGTTGTCGGTGTGTAATTTTTATACGCTCTAGATACATGATGCAGACCGTACTACGGCTTACGGTAAACGCTGATTCTGTTTTTCTTGAAGCAATTCGCCCCGTCGACAGATCCCTATGCTACTAAAAAAACACAGTTGTAGATTGATGGTAATGGCCGTTGAGGTTTATTAGTTAGCACACGGGGATTTTGGTATTTATACAATTTTTGGGCGGTGTCGTCTTCCACCGTATAAACCGGGCGTCAACCTTATCAACAGCAGACCTTGGTGTGCAACCACACCCTGTGCCGATACATTTTTTTATTTATAATATATTTATGTATAGATATATTTAGGAATATCCGTCACCGGTCGCTACTATAATATGATAATGCACACACGACTGGCGTATGCCTAACATACACCTCAACTATATTTTATAATTTTTTTTTATTTATTTCAGGTCCAAAGACCAGAACAAAGTGTGATGCAAGCGTTGGAAAGCCTAAACGACTCGCAGGTAATGTACTACCACTAATACGTAACCAGAATTTGCCTCCTTATGTTCGTTTTTATTGTAAGAAGTTCTAATTAAATATTTAAATCTAGAAAAATGAGTAGTTGTGTCTATGAGGTTTAATTTGAGATGAACATAAGGCATTTGCCGTATTAAAATAAAATTTAACTGCGCTTCTGTGCGAGCACTTGGATAAATTTTTAACCTCGAAATAAATTTTTAACAGCTCTTACGTTTTCAAATATTTGCTATGACGCTTGTGTAGCTTATGTTAATTTTCATCTAAACAATTTTGGGCCATTTATGTTTTCTTGAAAAATTTGTGTTTAACTTAAAGCTTAAATAACTTCTCAGGGTGAAAATATGAAATACATTAACATAATATATTTATGTATACAGAAATACTTGTAATATCTTTATATCTCATTTATAACAACATTAATGTGTTTTAATCGCAGCTATAGAATAAACACACGAATAATTTTTTTTAATTCAAATAAGTTTTTATTTTCTATCAAGTAAATTAATGTTTTTTTTCATTTAAACTATCATTAGAAAATTCGTGATTAAATGAAATAAATAATAATTAAACGGTGTTTAATTATTCAAAAAATTCAACATTTTTAAATTAGTTCATTAAACTAAATTTCAATTTTCATTTTCAGGTGAACGATTTCCTGTCGGGCAAGGCACCATTAAATTTGACTATGCGTTTAGGCGATCACATGATGCTCATACAATTGCAACTGTCCACTGTGTCGTCGTCAGGGACGTCGAAACGACCACAATCCGGTGCCCCTACAGTGGCCACTGGCACAGCCGCGTTGAACGCATCAACTGTAGCACCCGAACCACCACAGACCACGGCCACAGCTGCTACAGCATGCTCGGCCGGTAACATCATTGGCACCCCTAGACTGATACCCGGTGTGGACGCTTATCCCATTACTCGCGTCCGCAACGTGTCCGATGACAGTGACGATAACTCGATGGACACCTCAGAAGAGACGCCGACTGCCGTCTCCCCCACGACTACTACCCCCCCTATTACCTTGGCGCCCCCGACATTGGTAACAGCCGCGCCCGTTGAGGCGCCTGTACCACCAGCTCCCACGCCCACCCCGTGTTCGTGCGATGCTAGTACGTCTACATCGACTACCACTGGCACCACTGGCACGGGCGAAAAACCTCAGCTGGACACCAGGGCATTAGCCGAAGCTTCCCGAAATCTCACTCAAACTCTGAAACAACTTTCATCGGAGGTCCTTACCACAAAAAGCGGTTCCAAAGAGGTGAGCACTTTCTTATCAGCTAATAAACGACACGGTGCATATATATTCATCATACGTGAATATGTTTAGATAAGACGTGGTAAATATTATCTGGATCCCCTTAAATAATAAAAATTTATAAATACGGGTTCGTATTGATTGCGGCGTGGGCGGCAACGTCGCCGGGTTCGGCAACGTAGTAGTGTACGGGTATTTGCCGCTGCCGCCGCCGCTCGAGTACATACTAATTCCGTCCCGAGGGTTATGATCAATGTGTGGCTGGCGACCGCCTAGAGATGAAAAAAAAGTCTCGATTTTTATGTCGTCTGCAGCGTTGCCGGTTCTCATTCGCCACTGCGTTCACACACTAACCCACACCGTGTGAATGTCTTCTCGTTGTATGAGCGTGTGTGCCGCATACGTGCACCGTCACCGATGACCTCAATTTCAGGTGTAGTCCGACCAAGTTTCTTAACATGACAAAATCTTCAACACATAGTCTACAGAAATTTTGATTAAAAAAAATTTTTCCCAAAGGAGTCAAATTCGTTGAAAAGGAAAACCCTTATTGTGGTTGAATTTGTGTATAGTAGTAGTGATCCGTATCTGTTGGAGACGTCGAAAAACGTGTGCTCGCTTGAACGGGACGACTGCCCACAGAATCCGTGTAATATCCCTAGTGGGGCGTGGTTGCAACTGGCACACCGGCGAATTCGACGACGTCATATTGATCACGCGGGAGGTCGCTTATCACCGCACACACATTCTCGCACAAAGGGCCCTAGCTTCCCTCTTCTACCTTCCGTTCGTAAGCGACCTTTTGTGTGTTGTGCTGTACTACTCGTTGCGTTGCTATACACAAACCACTAGGTGCGTATCTCCTCTACCGCCGTTGCCTTTAGGTAATTTCTTTACCATTTCGTTGTCGTGTTTTACACATTGATCGTTTTCGTAGGCCGAAAACGCCGAGTGAATGTATTGTGTGTAGGAAATTTGGAACGGAAAATCAGCCGTATGACAAAGAAGCAGTCGCTAAATGAAGTTTTCTCCTTCCTCTGAAACGGTTACTTGGCCATTAATGCAATATCCGCGTTATAGAATAATACGGTACTCGTGCGTTCCAGTCGGCCGGACAACGGTGTCTCTACTCCGCTAACTGTGTCGACGTTTAGGAGGCGCATAGAGAAAAAACGAATGATAATATAAAAAAATAAACCACGGTATATAAAACCACTGCCTGGAGGCAAATAGAGCGGACACGTTCTACAACAAATGAGGTGGTGGCGTCCAAAGAGTACTACTTTCCACATTCGTGTTTCCCCTCCTTGCAATACTGTAACTATTGTCGATCCACTCGTTTCTAAGCTTTCGCGAGCCTGTTGACTACCATGACCAATGTTATTCTTCGGCTGGGAATTTCAAATGAAAGGAATATTGTGTTTATGCTAAACGCCTTTAAAATAATTGTATTAATCGCATAGTTCAGGAAGGCAAAAGTTCTTTAAGATTTTTTACAGGACAAACGTGTTTTCACAAAAGGGTTTTGTTGTTGTTAATGGAAACGGCCTCACCGACGGTAGGCGTCGCCCACACAATGTCTGTGTTGTCGTCATCCAAAATTTAATCCAGAACTCCTACGCTGTTCCGAAGCTTTGTTAGTGCTAGGAAAACGTTTTTGTAAAGTCGTGGGTTCTGGACTTTACTAAAACGTTTTCCTAGCTTTTGTTTTTTTTCTTTTACTGACTTCCGCAGTGATCTTCAACTAATATTTTCGAACGCGTAAAGAATCGCAGTTTGAAAAATTGCTGTTATTCCACTAAAACGGATCATCAATGCAGTGCTATTATTCTAATTTTACACTTGTACCTGCTTTATCTAGGTCATCGACTATCGTACAAAAATATGTTTATTTTAAATTATCTATTTTCAGTAAATATTTATATGTCAGGATTTTGAGGTTTTTTTTTCTGTTAAGAAAACATAAACAATTGTAGACTTTGTGAATAAAGGTGTGTGAAATGAAGCGCTCTCTATATTACATATTAGCCGAGTTACTTATAAATAATAAATCATGTATTTGAGCTGAATGATAAGTTGTAAATTATTTTTATTAAATATCATAAATGGAGGAATCACTATTCGATAAGGGTCACGTTGTTTTGTTATCTAACTCACGTCGTTACCTAATTACAAATATTCTTATGAAAATAACTTATGTCCAGAGCTCATAACTTAAAGCATTAAAACGTGTTATTTTAAGCGCTATAATAAACACTTAAAAATATTGTTTTTAGCGATTAATATGGACCAAAAACACAAAAATATAGAAAAAAAAGTCAAGTTCAATTTAATGAACATTTTTGCAATTTTAGTCTGTTACTTAACGAAAAATTGCAATTCCATTATCAAAAATTTAATATATAATTTTTGTATAAGACAATAGAGTTTTATTAAGTAATAAGGACGACGGCCAAGTCTGATTTGTAATATACAATAATTTCACATCTACTCGTATATTTATCATTTATACAATTTTTACTAAGGCAACCTAAACATACAGTGGAGAAAATTTAGCGACTTTTAAACATTTATTCTTTATGCTTTATAAAAAATATTATATTTAAGAAGAACGCCTCCTTTGTGTCCCTAAATTAAGAAAAATTTAAAAAGTTCCAGATTATTTTGTCTTAAATTGGGAGATATTAGTTATGACAAGTCAATTGATTTCAGACTACATTGCAACACAGCAATAGGTTATTATAAACACTTATATCATTATACGTGCATTAATTCCGAAATTGTTTTTTTTGTTCAATAGTTGTAAAAAAAAATTGTACATGTTTTGACCTTCCTGATAATTTTCTCTATTATGATACTGAAATAGCGCTAAAAATACATAATAAACAAAATAGCACTTCACATTTGAAATATGTAACATGAAATTTCGTATTTAGGTTATTATTTTTCTGCAATACATTTTTAAATTACGTAGGTACCCCTTTAAAAAATATACCAAGGCTAGAAATTATGAGTACTACTTATATCATTAATAAGCAATAGAACTAATCATTTAAGACTACTTCTAATAATACAATCAACATTTTTGTTCGTATCTTAGCACCGACCGTTTTGTTGTGACAATTAATGTTTATGCTTCGCTTTATGTTTTGTATTACGGGCACATCAATAGTGTTCTGGTTACCATTGAATTATTGTAATTTTTATTATTTAGTGAAATCCCCACCATAAAAAAACATACTTGAGCGGCCTACGATTGACTTGTCTCTCTGTTATCGCCGCTTTTTTTCGTGATGTATAATTACCCAGAGCAGATGTTTTAACGTGCTGTACTTTGCAATTACACGTACTACGTATTTATGTGCCGACAAATGCAATTTTTTCGATGTTATATGTACTAAGTAATCATAAAGAACAATTGATTTCTCCAAAATAATTAATGTTTTGTAGTAACTGCGATAATTGCCACCTACTGGGCTTTTCGATTTTCTCTTTTAGGTTTAATTTCCAGGGTCGCCTCGTTGGCGTCAGTCATATGTATGTAAATAAGTTTAATTGTCAAAGATGTGTTAATTTTGAGTAGCACGACAGTGATAAGGTTGAAAATATTGTGGGATTTTGTTGCTTTAAATGTCGTTAAAAAATTTATGGAACTCTGGTTGTGTCCTATTACATATTTGCTAAATTGTTGTATTCTTTTATAAAAACAGCTGTTTGCCGTCCATACTCGGACTAATGTTACGTAGGTAGTCATACACGTATTAACTTTGTTTGTTGGGCGTCTGAATAAGTATGTGAGAATGTAACACTTTCACTCGGCGCATCGAACAAGATTATTTTTAGGGTCACTGTCGCCGTTCGCAAAGTGTCGCATAACCGTTCGCTAAGTAATCCGGACAAACTAGTTATGATTTGGGAATGGGTTAACCTCGCAAATTTGGCTCACATTAGCATAAATCGTTGACGTACACATTGCGTTTGCTGATGATTAGCGCCGATATACGCCGTAGGTCGTTAATGAAAATATTTACCTAATATAAACCTACCGGCGGATAGCGTGTGGTGAACTCGCCCTCATGTGCCTACGTGTGCAGCACCACCGACTCATCGTATCGCAGCAACCGGCGCGCCCGTATGAACAATAATGATAATTAAGTATGTTTGATTGCATGTATAGTACTTATGGTGGGCGATCATACAGAATACGAGCGGCGTCGTTGCGTTGTGTGTGCGTGTTCATTGAGCAGTGTAGTTACGTCCTAGGCTAGGTTTTAATAATATCTGTGTGTGGGTCCTCCCGGGACTCGCTAGTTTATATTTGTTCCCGATGGTGGCGGCCGGTGTATTTATTAATACGAGATAACGTTGTTGAGAATATGAATTTTTTTCCCGTTTAGAAATAACTCGCACGCGCGGGCAAAAGAAGTTTTTCTTTGTCGCCTTCTCCTCCAACGTTTACTCGTTCCCACGTATCGGTTGCGCAGTGCGGCGTCCCTTGCACACCACATAAACGCTGCCGTCTGTTCACAAAACGTTGTTATCTCTGCGTATGATTCTGTACGAGAAAAACTACTGTGGGAGCCCCCAGCGACAATTGTGTACAAGTCGGGGGAGACTCGGCCACAGACACCCACAACATCGCCGTGCATTTTAATCGGTATGCACACACGATATATTATTCTCCTTCTTTCACGTCTTTATTGTCCCGGAAAACCATTTTCGCCGCCTTCGGTTCGACCAAAAAGTTGAAATAGATTTCAAAGTATACGTGTGTGTGAGTGTACTAGGGAGACCGCACCCTGCCGACATAAACAGCGTATTGATCTCGCCCGGAGAGGACCATATAGGCGGCTGCGGTAACGCGTTGAATGGCTGCCAATTTTGAGGCAGGTCGTTGCAATGCGTTTGGCATTTTTTTTTCCACAGTTTCCCCCACCGCCTCCGTATCATACTCGAATAATATTTTATGCAAATTAAGAGTTAATTTATTTCTACTTAATTGTGACTCGTTGCATTTTATTGTTCGAATACTTAGGTTGGTATTATTCTTGACTTAATTCCCAGTAAATGTAGAGGATAATGTATCAAGCTCACATTAACATATAAACAATAAAAATTTTACTTGTAAAAAAAACTTGTAAATTTGAATAAAAACTATAAAATTATATTTTCATGCGGTACACAACCAGTTTGTAGGTGTCATAAAAAAAATGCAATCAGCAGAAAACTCATTTCGATAATTTATTTTTGTTGCCGTTACAAAGTATCTAAATTAATTGATACGGTAAACTCGTCAAGTGTTTTTTATTTATATATACATATATGTACGTACAAACAATTGAAAAGTTAAATCGTCTTGTCATTTCTATGGAATTGAATTTTTACTATTAATGGACGGTATTTTTAAAGCTTAAAGTGTTTATTTATTAATCTTCATAAATTAATATTTGTTATTTTGTTTATTTTAGATGCACATAGGATTCAAGCGAAGGCCAGGCGCGATAATCGAGAGCATGCAACACCATGGAAAAGGCGTATACTCCGGCACTTTTTCTGGTAATTTGCTATTCGTTCGTTAAATAATTTCTAGGGCTTTACAAAATACCACTGTATCTCTTCCATGGTTTCCCTGCAGCCACATGACCCTAAGGCTTCATGATTGAAAACTTAGAACTACTCAGTGCCAGAAAAACTATTCACTGTTAGCCATTTCCTATACCCCATGATAAAACTTCAATATAGAACCTCAATGATCCGCCATAACTTGTATTATTGCGTTTGCAGGTACATTGAATCCAGCCCTGCAAGATCGTTTTGGTCGACCAAAACGCGATATCAGTACTATAATTCATATACTCAATGATTTGCTGTGTGCTACTCCACAGTACAGGGCGGCAGCAAGATCGGGTACACCAGCTGTATGCACAGCCACAACACTTCCTCCGACAGCTTCGACTACACAAAACGCCACACCATTTGCTGGCACAAATTCCATGTCTGCTCATCATTCATCCGCACCTGACTATAATGGTAAGTTCACATCAACTACTCCTGTTGAGTGTCAGTATTGTTTGATTTTATTTTTGTGTTACTCTAGTTTTCATTAATAAATTTCATTTAAATAAATTATTTTCTTAGAAAATGATTCCAAGGAGAATGCAGCCACACGTGGAAAAATGGAGCGCTTACGTTTAATAATGGAAGAAAAACGTGAGAGACGTAGAGCCGGTCGAAGCGTACCTTATGATAAGAGCAAATCAGGAACCCAATGGTCAGCCAAATCGGAAACACAGAGCGTAGCACCAACAGATCCATCTGTCGATCCAACATTGCCGCCTGAACAAGTCGTTGTGTGAAAAGCTCTGTGCGGATATTTAAAATATGTGATATAATAAATAAATCCCCACCATGTTTTTTTTTTAAGACATTTAATATCTATTAGCTTATATGGTCAGTTACACTTTAGGGTGCAATATTTTTAATTTTTGTAAATACAAATAAAGAATTCCCTTCTATCTAGCACCAAAAATGAAACATTGATGATATTTATGTATGTATATTTCCTCTTCATTTTATCTTTATAAATAGATTAACACCTCTTAGACAATTTCGTATCTATTGTCCATGATATAACATACAAATTTATGTAAAGATATTGTATAGAATGATGTTTATATTTATATATACCTAATTTGTTTAAGTGAATTTTTTTTAATAGGGATTTTATGTTGGATAAATTTAAATAAAACAAATTGCGATTTATTACCTCATTTTTCGTGAATGTAAACAATTATAGACGTTTTTAGAAATATAAAAATTAGTTAAAAAATTTTGTCTTGTCAAATTCTAAATGACAGTAAATGTAAATATTATTGTAAATCACGTTTACTGAATATTGGTTTTCGTGTAAATAATTATAATATAAAAATGAAAAACTAAAAAAATATGTATAATGTAATGCTTAAAGATTGATTATTTATTTAGGGTAATTTTTAATTTGTATGAGGAGAATAATTATTTAAGTTTTGTTTGACCAATAGGGTTTTTTTTTCACAGTTTCAGCTTAGATTCATTAATTAAACATACTATATTATTTTTAAATTAAATTGTTTTTGTTAATTTGTGTATTTAAAAATAATAATTGACTGGTTTTCTTTATTACATTTTTTTTTTTTTTACATAGTTAATTATATTTTCTGCTTTAAAACTAATAATGACATGTTGTACACAATGTTTTTGTAAAAATAAGAAATAAGTAATTGTTTATTAAAATATGAACATCTGTTGTTTATTTATTATACTTTTTTTTTCATTTAATTTGGGCATTTGTTAGACATGCTAAATCTGTTTCAACAGACATTATTTAAGAATATAGTTACATAATTATATCACTTGATTACAAATCACTGTGCTCATTGATAATTAAACATTATAGTTATTACTATCTTTAATTTTTATAAATTATTTTAAACTTGATTTGTTGAATATCAAAATAAAATGAATATACATAAAAAATAAAAAATTTGCAATTGAAAAAAATTTTACAACTGTATTATTCTTTTATTTTATTGTGAGTTTATTTAATGTTTTATGAAAAACAAAGCTATGCATAATATCATTGTTACAAATGTGAAATTAAAGACAAAATTAGAATTATTATAAAAAAAAGTATTGTATTATGTTTGTCTACACTAATTAAAATTGTAAGATTACCGTTATACTACAAATACTTATAGAAATTGGCTAATTTTTCGTTAAATCAATGATAAATCGACATTGTGGGTAGCGTTTTATATTTGTAAATAAATGTGATTGGATTTATTAAAATTAAGTTCAAATTGCTATCTATCCAATCCATAATTCATTTTGAATAGCAGATTTGTAAATTTCTGCTGAAATATGTTATCTACATAAAACCAGTATAATCTACTTATGCAATAATTTCACCATTAATTTTTAAATTAAAAAGTTCATTTATTATAAAAATTAGAAATAGAATAGGACCTAGCACAGTGCTTTGTAGTACATCTTAAATACTTTTTTCACTGGTCAAAGGTTTTATTGTCTACTATAAAATGTTTATTTTAGACTATTGTCTATATATAAGAGGATCTACAAATTAAAAATGCTTACTATTAATTGGTGTAACTAGAAATTTTATTTTTGAGACCTATTTTATGTCACATAAAGTCCCTGGTATGCAAAATGAAACAAAAAAAGTCATTTGTTTTTTTTTGTAAACGAAATGATTTCCTTCAATTACAGGACAGAATTTTTAGAATTTACATTTTTATTTGCATATACATAACATGACAATTAACTGTTTCTAACTGCAACAAATTAAAATTGTAAATTGTTATTGAATATTTTTGCATGATTTGGTTATTTTTAATTCTTAAGGCATGATTGCATTATTATTTAGAATAAACACTTTACATTTCTTTCATGTTTATTGGAAAATAACAAAATTTTATTTTTATGATTCAAATTAGGATTTTTACTATGTTTCAAAGTTTACCTTTAAATGATCAGTTATGGCTCAGCCTAGTATGAGTAAGGTTGACCGGCCCATTTATATACTGAAAAGTCAGACTGTGGCAAGTTGCCTCCCCTAAATGACACTCGTGGTTTAATGAATAATATCATATCGATATAAGGCTTTAAATTTCACTGTTCAGGATATCGAAAATAAAAATTACACGTTATATGTTTATCAATTTTCTTAGTAGTTTAATTCCGAATCAATTCAAATTGTCGATATTTCAATGAAAGTTATTATGAGGTGAGTAAAACCTAAATTCAAGCACCTCATTATCTCAAAATGTATATTTATAAGATATTGCCTTATTCGTTGCGATTTGTAAAACTCATTTATTTTATTGCACTCTCAAAATTAAGTTTATCGTATAATATGTTATTTGAAATAAATTTTCAGGTAGATAATGTCTATTATTATTTGAAATTATTAAAAGTATCTCGAGTATATTTTACAATATAAAATAACCATTATAAAATATTAATTAGCCATTTATTAAATTTATCAAGGTCTAAAAACTTTAAAGTCTAGGAGGGCTAATTTTAAATTTCAGGAGTCTAACCTCACCTTGTTGCGCCAATGTTACTGATACATAATTGTCGTGTATATCAGGCTTATAATTATTTTGTTATTACAATAGTCGATAGTCATACAACAATTGATTTTATTTAATTTATTTATTCAATCGATATACACGATTAATACGACAGTTTTATTATTACATCGATGGTAACATATTCTTATTAAGAAAAAATCATATTATGTTAATAATATATCATATTATATTAAATTTAATACACCGAATGATTGTTCCAGAAAAGTTATCACTTATTATTAATTAATACTTTAATACAATATTTTTGAAGTGTAATGTGTAAAGAAATACGGTAATATATTTTTACATTAGTTACATTATGCCCGTTTTGATCATTAAAAATGGATTCAAAATGATCGATTCAAAAATATTTCAGGATAGTAGAGATAAGCATAAGCGCAAACAGTGTTCAAGATTTGGGTGGATTTAAGTCCAGAAAAAATTTACCTTGCTACACTCGATGTCAAGTGCCAATAAATTTTTTATTTAATATACAGTACACCTACAACTTTATGTTTTCATAGGAAAAATTACATCCCAGGCCAACTGGCCTGCTAAAATATCTGGTTTTACTATTGTTTATATATATTATAACTTTATTGCATTTCTATGGCTTCTAAATTTTCAGCATTTTTATGGTTTCTCAATTTTTCTGCTTTTCTATGGCTTCTCAATTTTCAGCATTTATATGGCTTCTGTATTTTTTTTTTTATTTCTATGGCTTCTCAATTTTACTGCATTTCTATGGCTTCTCAAATTTACTGCATTTTTATGGTTTCTCAATTTTTCTGCTTTTTTATGGCTTCTGTATTTTTCTGCATTTCTATGGCTTCTGTATTTTTTGCATTTCTATGGCTTCTCAATTTTACTGCATTTTTATGGTTTCTCAATTTATTTGTTTGTTTGTTAATTATAAAATTAAATATCTTCCCAAAAAAAGTGGTTTAATGTAAAGACAATCGAAATTTTTCTGTCAAAAAAATTCTAAAGTACTTCTAATGAGTTCTTTTTTAAATTAAACCTTATGTTTTATATAAACCCTTAGATCATAAAGTAATTTATAAAGAGAATAGTCAATCAGCAACACAATATTTACAATTTGGTAAGTCCCTGGATAAATACTATGAATATGACAAAGAATTATTTATGATATTTATTGACTTTTAAAAGGCTTATGGTTGTATTAACAGTAGTCAGTTATAAATAATACAAAAATGTTTCAGCTTTCCCAGAAAACTTGTAATACTTATTCGTAACCGGAACATTTTTTGTAAATTATATATTTTTGGAGGACAGTTTTAAATCTTACTCCTTCTAACTTGGCTTTAGAAACAGTGATAAAAAAAATATAAACAGATAATAATTTGGATATGATCGAAAACAATACATTATTAGGTTGTATTGATGATAATTTTACTCTTGGAGAACCCAAAGTTATAACACAAATTGTTAGGAAATTGTAAAGAAATGGGATTGTAAATTAATGAAAATAATACTAATTCATAATTATGACGAGTTAGCCGACGGTTATGCAAAATCTCAAAGTGGGACGATATTTATTTAAACAAGTTGAACATTTTAAATACCTGTCAATATAAACAAACGAAATAACATGTATAATGAAACAAAACAGGGATTGGCCTCGGAAAATAGAGGATATCATGGAATAAGAAATATACTTACATCAAGACTATTATTAAGGGAAACTATAACAATGCTTTACATTGCCTATTGGGTAGCAACAAAAGGTAATGAATAAAAATGATTAGTATTTGAGAGGAAAATACTCAGAAAAATGTTCGTACTTAATAAATACCCCAACACAGGATTTTATGAAAGAAGGAATGAAAAAATAAAAAGGATATAATATGCCAAATATACAAAACTGTGAGCGAAAAGTCTGGAATAAGTAGCTATGTGGGGAGGACAAAGTAATTAATGTATAAGATATCTATCAACAAATCAAAGAAACGAATGGTCGAAAGCCAAGAGATAGACTCTGTCAACGTTGGCCTAACAAAGTGGACCACTAGGAACAATGAAATTAAAAGACTCGAAAGATTAAAAATATCAGAGGGAAGTGGTGGAAGCGGTAAAAGGCCTTCAAGAATAATTAAAAAATTCTATATAATCTCAAAAATATAAAATTGAATAATTGGTTATTTTACTTTTATTCGTAGTAGACAATATCTTTAATTTGATTAAATTATGTGTAGCTAAATAGATAAATTTCTATGTGACTAATTTTTTATTTGTGTAATTGCCATAATGTAATATATAATCATAGACATTATAAATATTTATATTGTTTCATTACATTATTATTGTTTTTATTATCTATGAATATAATGAAACACGAGTTAAAAGTAACATTTTCTTTTTTAGAATTTGTTCAAAAACATTCTCGAATAAAATTATTACGGTAATTTCACATCACTATCTATGGCGTAAGTGTAATAGAATTTACATTATTTTATTTAAAAAACATTGATCAACCATTTCCCGACAAGACATTTCTTTCCGAATATTATTACGAGAACGATTAAAATATTTCAGACTTTGTGTTAATGTTCTAACATATTTTCAATAACACCGTAAGAAATAATCCACAAATTCCTATACGTCAGTATTTTTAATATACACGTTATTTTACACAGAAGTAGTGTAATTTAGATATAAAATATCGAAAATTCGTACATAAATATAACATTTGTATCACTATTTATAAACATTCTTTTTTACATTGTGTGTGCGGTAAAAAATTCGAATATACATATTTGAAAATTCCGAAATTCTAAGAACGTATGAGAAACATTGCAATTTTTTATAATAATATTACAAAATCATTATGCTTGATACAAAATAGAAACAGCAATAGTTTTTTTATCATTATTAATTGAATTACAAAAGCACAAATGTTATGAAATTTGAGTACTAAAAAAAAAACCACGAAATTAATTTGTATTTAAATATTATCATTGCAAAATTTTGTTCAAATAAGATTTTCCTAATTAAATTATGAGTTGGGCTTATTTTAAAATTGTACCGTGATACTAAATCAAACCGTGTAATATAGTCAACGAGTATCTTACGGGATTTCCAAAGGTTGTGTCGTAAGGTTTAACTTGACGTTTTATAACTCATATTTTTATGAGATTCAAATTCAAACGTATGTTGGGCTTATTACGGGCACTTTTCCGTTGGGTATTGTTGCTCTCATTTGATACCAAAGTGGATTCTTGACGAATTTATCCATCTTGTTAGGAACCCAACCAGAGAAAAAAATAATATATTTGTTCACGGCTATCATTGTGGATTGGACGATAGAAGACCGGTTGGTATGATATTACCCGTTTTGGTCTTTCATAGTGGTCGTGATGTTTGTAAAAAACCGTACGAGACTGATTTTGAAAAGCGCATTGTCCAAAACGTATATTATAAATCACCAAACACCTAAAAAGATTTTTTGGTCGTGACATGGGCGACCCGGAACTGATCAGGTCTGCCCAGTGAACGCGACTTACCGGAAACGGTCGACCAGTGAACGTGAAAAAATAATAAAAACAGAGTAACTTCAGATTTTCCAAACGGCCAAGAAGACGTTTCGCATTCTTCTCGATTGTTGTTATTTTTTTTCGCGAGCGTAGGCGACTTGTGATGTCTGTGCGCGACAACACGATTGCAAGCGGTGGGGTAGGGACGAGGCAAGAGAAACGCGCGGTTGTGACCTCGTCGCGACCGCCGCCGTCGCGTGTTTGCCGACAGGCGGCGCTCTGGTAGACCACAAATCGTGTCAGGTCCACGCCGCCGCACTTCCACCACCCCGTCGGGCATCGGACGAAAACGCGTTTTTAAAAAACTCAATTCCGATCATTCCTGGCATTCCGATCCGCGCTGTCGAAACCGCTGCACACCGACGGCCGACAGCGCGCGCTCGCACACGTACGCTGCTCATAGCACATCTCAGTGACGATCCTCGACCCTCGCGAGACGCGCGCACTTACCACCGATAAACACATTTCCTATCGAACAGTCTCAACGATCGTTGTTGGCGTGTACAAGTTCAGCGGTGCAAACGTTACACGCTGAATATAAAATATAATGGACGGCGAATCGCCTTTGCAAGTTCTGTCGCGGGCGGCCACCATGTTACACGGGGAGGAAACCGCGGCCGCCGAAGCCCAGTACGCCGCTGCCGCCGCCAGTGAGTAAATCCCATCAGTTTTGTTAAGAAAGGTTTTTTTGAACCTCATAATGTTATGCGTTTTCAAACGGCAGTCGTGCGCTGTTCTGTAAATCCACGTTAAGGGTTCCTTTCTCTCTCTCTCACTCTCTCTCTCTCTCTCTCTCTCTGTTCTGCGACACCCCTCCAACGTTCGGGTCGCCGGTCGATTTCTACGGCCTGCGCGCACGACATGCTCACCCCATGAGTTGTCCAAACTTTCTAACTCAACTCTGAAACACAAACGGCACAGTGGAGAAAATGATACGTTTACGAATGACCATGACACAACAGAGGGGAAACAATACTTGCTCTTCACTGGAAACCCGCTAATCGTTATTGAAATGTGTTCACACGAAACCATAAGCTTTTTGAGTATACTCGATTTTTTTAAGTAGTGTACGTATATTTGAAGTTCCACGGAGGTCTGCTCAGAGACGGTCCGGTGCACTCTTCTCCAAGAGGTCCGCATATTGTACACTTTGGTTTTATAATTGGCATTCCGGTTGTTTTCGTTACATTAGGCTGTTAAAACCTGTGCCGCGCTGGGCGTTAATGAGAAATCTGTTTCGCATACGCGTGCGACTAACGTACCGGAATTTAAATTTTTGTTTATCACTCGGCTAGAAATCATCAAAGACGTTGTATTGTCTAGGAATTATTCGAAGGCACACAAATCGGTATGTGTTGAAAGCCGTCACGGAATTTGACTCGAGTAAATTTGAACAATATCCAATACACACATTATTGCTGTTGTCGAATTGACGTTCAAAGACTACTGTAAATAAACAAATCACTAGTGTTGTAATTACTACAAACGTCGCTCATAAATCGTCGTATTAGTCAGTGATTATCATAAGTCTACATTGCTAGTCGAGAGCAAATTCCAAAGCGAACGACAGAGTATTTTAAGTGCTCATCTCGTAGTTGCCAATCTATAGACGGTAAATCGAATTTCGACTTGACCACTTTTTACATTCTCAAAAATGTCCCACCCTAAAAATGCTCGTGAGTAAACACTTACCACTTATTGTACTCATCAATTTCATATCATAGAAAGCTTTTATTTTTTGTATTTTTCAACGTCTCGTTTTTTCCAAAATGTAATTTTCGTTTCTATCTGACATTGTTCTCTCTGCAGCATTTATGTTATTGATTTTTAAAGAGATAGGAACTTTTTTTTATTATTTACAGCAATATTGTTGTTATTAGTGAGCTACAATAACGGACATCAGAAGTGTTTATAATCCGAGCTAGGTCGATTTCTATTTCACATCGTGTTAGTGTATAAACATAAGATAATTGCAATTCCTCTCGTGTTTTGATTAACTTTCCTATTCTACAATAGATGTTCAATCGATATGATTCGTGTTCAATCGATTGATTTTTCAGTAAAAGTAATTTGTGTTACAACATTATGTTGTTCGAATTAAAATGTCTACCCATTGTAGATATTCAAATTACAACCAACCTGAGTGGTTTTAAACGTTTTTTGTCATTGTTGATTTTCACGTGTGCTTATTTAAATTGGTATTTATCTAGTGTAACTTTTACTGCACACCTGTTTGTTACCACAGGTTTACGGATGAGAAAATATATGTTATTTACTATAGTCGGTAGAATATCTAAGTATTACATTATTACAGAACTCACTATGTTTAAATATTCGCCGAAAAACATTTAAATCGAAATAGTTTCGTTGACTTTAAAACACCACCGTTTGAAATATTTCAAATATTTGGCACGTCTCCACCATGTCGTACTAATTATTATTATTATTGTGTAAGAAATTCCTTCGAAAATCAAATAAATATTTTATCATTTACAACATTAGTTTTGTGAGCATCACTTAATAATTTTACCTGTAAAAATAATCAGCGTTAATTAGTAAATATAATATAATTATATGACCATAAAACATACATCGCAAGTTCTCTCTAATTGTTAATTTCATTTTTTTGTAAATTGAGTTATGAAAAGTTATAATTACTAACTAGTCTACTACAGTTGATTGTATAATAAAAAATTGGAAGGGGCCTAATTTATGTATCACTGTGTGTATGCATAATAATTATACTAATTGTATGTAAGTAAAGTACTGGGAATTTAGTTTTGGACTTCATAATACAACTCAAAAAAAAAACTACATTAGCGTAGGCGAATGTTTAGTGCCATGCGAATAATATATAAACTTAATAATCATATTTTAGTGTAAAATAATATAATATATACAGTCTGTTGTCGCATTCCATTAAGCATTTAGATTCGAATCAGCTGTGACTTTCCGAAAGCCTTGTAGGTTTTCGGGACAGATGGCGTTGCTTGTATCGTGTAAATAGTTGTAGTCAAAATTATTTTGCCTAGGGAAAAGTTGTCAGGAGTAAAGAGTAGACGATGAATTGCCAACGGCATGTGATAGTCATAATTTATTTGAGATTTGAGTTTGCCTACGTCTACGCCTTTTGACTACGATTGTGTTTCGTTGAATTTGTAGTGTTATTTGTATCAGAAAATGTTTAAGTCTCGACATTATGTTATATACAATATTATTATAACACTTAATTAATATTCTGCATTATTTGGTACTGTGTTCTTTGGATGAATTTAGAATATTATGAGTTATTGCAAAAATTGAAAAAATATGTTTTTTAGTATATTTTAGTATTTTTTAACATATTATTTAGTCCTACAATTTAACCTTACTATTAAAGATTTTTGTTAATAATTTCAATAAATAATTCACTTCTTATGATTTGCAACATAACGTACATATACATGAGTATACTTTCTATACATTTTACAGTTCATGATAAATAGAAAAACGCTTGTCAATAAAGATTAATCTTACTACAAATAATACAATTAAATAAACAATCTACAGAAATCAGACGACTTAACAAATATAATAAACAGTTTTCAATTAACTCTTAATTTAACCTTTTATATGCAAATGTATAAAGATAAAACCCTAAGCACAATTTCCATGAATACTTAATAGAAATTTATAGTATTTAATAGGCAAAATATTTAACTGTTTAACACTCTAAAGAATATATTTAACCCATTTTAAAACCCTAATAATATGTTTTATTTTAATAAAATGCAAAATACGATCATCCAACAAATAAATTCGTTATTTTTCGAAACGCCACTATTGAAACATACATTTTTTATGTTAGTGTTAATGTAACAATATCATTTTAAATGGCATTTTATTTAACTGATTTTTAAATTCCAGATATTAAAAAACAAATAATAGATATAAAATGTCAAAGGAAACAAACTTTTTTCTTAAACAACCTGTTTGAGGCAAATTAAAATGCCTCTTAAAATAAATGTCAAACAATTTATAAATTACAGCGCATAATTAACAAGTGTTCATTAACAATTACTGTGAGCAGTTGTGACATGAAGTACTAGTATTGCTTATTTTAAAATCGTATTAGTTTAAAAACAAACTCAAAAGATTGTTGTAATAACAAATGCAAAAGTCATAAATATTAAGGTATAATTGCATACAAATAATGTTGTATATTTAGGCTTTTTTAGCACTCTTTAATTGTGAATTATTTGTGTTAATATATCAAAAGAAACATCAATTTGATTTGATAGTAGAAATGTCATATTTCACATCAGTCACTTCAGCTGTATTTTTAACTCAGATGCTATTTGGGTTTTATGAGGCTGTAAAATTGTGTGACAAGGCTATTATTCTATGCAAAATACATTTCTATAAGTCTTTTTCTAAAGGTTTTCAATGAAAAATTTAAAAAAACAAAATAGTTCCTTCATGAATAGGCTCATAAGTTTATCCTAATAAAAATGTCGTTATACGTTTAAGAAAAATTTAATTGGTATATTTTTAATTAGAGACCATTTATCTAAAACTGCAGAGTTATTAGGCGATCTACTTAACAATTTGAGGTCTACTTTTTTTGAGTTCTAGCCCAAAATAAAAATCCTCAACAAAATCCAATCCCCTGCCTCCCAAAAAAGTTTGCATATCAAAGTGGTAATATTTATTTTTCATAAACTTTATATATAAATATTTGTGACCGATATTGCTCCTTTATTTGTTTTGCTTAACACTTGTCTAAACTAGTTATATATAAATATTATATATTTTTTAAAAACTTGAATGAGATTTAAAAGAGATTTTGCTGAAATTTCCAATGAACCCCGTGAAGAGTTTTCTCTTTCTCATCTCTCACGTAATATCTAAATAAGTACTGTGGCTAGTACTTGACAAGAAACTAGTCAAGTGTTAAGAAATACGAATAAAGAAGCACTGTTGCTCGTGAAACTAGGATTGAAGTTTATGTAATAAAGAAAGAACTAACATTGTCACTACTTTGAGAGTTGGGCTTTTTTGGATGGGAGGGTTGGAATTTGGCCCTTTTTCTGGGTCAAGTCAGCAAAATATATTACTTTTCAAACTGGACGAATCGTTTCGTGTTGGATAGAGTTGGTGGTAGAACTTGGCCTGGCGCTTTGCACAGACATTACACAAAAGTAAACTACAATATGTTCCATTGTTGTTAATAAGCTTATGATCCAATAGAGTTGTTCAAATTCAATTTTGTAGATAAAAGCGAGCTGATTTAAATTGATTGAGTGAGGTTTAATTTTTCAGTATCGTTTTTTACGGTATCTATTGTTGCACTCTGTAGTAAATTTATAGAGTGAAATAATTGTTTAAAATCTAAGATGCTTTTTTCTGACAACTAAAACGGTTATAATCTTACTACTAATTCGATGAACACTTTACCTGACCTTATAATAATGCATCATGGGAAAATCGAACGATTACAAATTAGTAGTTTCTCTTAACGGTGACAAATCGTCTATTTTTGGCCATTAGTGATTCGCATTTAATCGAATTTCTCTTAGGACACTGCGAAAAACAATAATCGTCACGGATTAATGCGTGGATATTTCAATTGTCTTATAATCCATTATTAAATTCTAATTAGCAAATATAA